TGCCCCCCACCCCGGCACAGCTGCGGGCAATGCTCTGTGACAAGCTTAAAAAGCCCCTGGTGTGGGTGCTCAGCTCCCCAGAGCTTCTCCCATCCTGCACGATGCTCCTCTCTCCGTGGGGCTCAGCCTTCGGTGCAGACAGGTATGGCTGGGACGGGTGCCTGGGGATGGGGTGCCCCAGGGTGATGCCACCATGTTCTCTGCTGCCATGCCAGCCCAGCCATGGGCTGGGTCCCCGGGGCTGTGCCTGGGCAGCCCTGGGGTGAGGTCATGCTCTCCAGGGACTGAGGTTGGTGTACGAAAAGCTGTTTCTCTCTGTTGTGCTATTGCTTATGGAAAGCTCCTTCTCCTCTTTGCTGACCCTGTGGAAAGGTTGGTGGGAGCTGGGAGGGTCTTTGTAACAAATGTGATGAGCTACTGATAGAAGTGGAGGAAAACAAAATGCTTTAGAAATAGCTTTTTGTCATTCAGAGAAATGAGGGGGGAAACAACCAGACCTGAAGCCTGTGAGGAGGAAAACCAAAAGCTTGCTTGCAACTCGGGTTCCTGAAAAAGTGCTGAGCGCAGCTTTCAGATGCTGACCCGCTCCTCTCCTTGTATGGGCAGAAACAGGGCTTGTCGTGTGCCTATATTTAATTTGCAAGGGAAAAAGAATTCTCCCTCCATGCCTCTGCTCCACTGGCCTCTCTGTCTTGGTTAGTTACAACAGGAATAGAATTGCATGCTTAAAAAAACCTACTCCAACTGCTCGCACACAAGCCCTTCCGAAGCTTGGAGTGAGCGGAACAGGTTTCTGCAACGCAACCCTGCCACGCACACGAGGTCTCCGGTGGCTCCGGGCTAATGGAGATGGGGGCAGCTGCCCCACCACCGCCGGGCTCTGCCATGGGGGCTCACGGGGCTGTGCCCCCATTGCTTGTTGCTCCTGGAGCCAGCGAGGAGGGGACCCGCGGCAGGACCTGGGATGATGTGGCCATGTCCCCCTCCACGAGCCGAGGGCTGCATGGCTCCGAGACCCTTCCCTCAGCAGCGGTTTCTCCCCCCAGCATTTTTCCCTCTGTCTTGCCCCGTGCTGGAGGAGGAAGATGGATGTTGAAGCGTTACCCGAAGGCTCTCGGGGATGTGCATAGGCTGCAGTGGGACCCTGGCAGGGACCTCTGGCTGCAGCTCTTCTCCCTGCTATGATTTGGAACCTCTCCTTGAATGGAAACTCTCCCGAATGGGACCAGCCTGACACCAACCGCCCGCACTCCCGGCTCCCACCCCTGCCAGCCCGGCCTTCCGTGCCGGCTCGGCCGGGATTTTGTGTCAGTGAAAACCCAGAAGCTTCCACGCTGGAAGGGAGCGGGGCTGAGGGGGCCCCGGGATGGAGACAGCCCCACGGCACGCTGGAGACCGATGCCACTTTATTGGTAACTCTTGGAGAGCTGGACACTGAAGAACTTGGTTCTTCCAAGACGTGGTTTGTACACAACAACAGAGGGAACAACAACAACCACCACCCCCACCACCGTCTGTTGCACCCCCGTGTCTCCGTGCAACCCCAACAACGAACTTTCGCAAGCTGCAGCTGGTGCGACCTGTGGGGAGAAGGGCACGGGGAGAGAGGCGAGACCCGCCGAGGGCCTCCGGGCCCAAACTTCCATGAAAGGAGCCTTGTGTCCCACTGGTTTAACTGGCAGGGGAAGCGGAGGTGCTGGGAGCACAACGGAGATGCAGTTCGGGGGGGAAAACCCCGCAGCTGCAGTGCAGCAGAGCTGGGGTGCAACGTTCCAGCCTGGCAGTTGCTCAAGTCTTACAAATTCCAACTTCTTTCAATTAAAACAGCAAGTGCTTCAGGTACAACGCTTGCAGTGCCTGGTTCATAACCCAGCCTTAAGTGCACACAAGCAGGATTTCTTTAAAAAACTATATATATATTTGCACACTCATACACACACATGCACACAGTGAATTTTGTGCTGCAGCTACTTTAACCAGAGATGATGGAATGGGCCTGAAGTGGCTGACGTAAGCCGGGCCCCAGGAGCTGGTCATCTGTGGCACCACTCACCCTAAAGCTGCTAAAGATTATGATTATTTTTGCAAATATGGGTCCCCCAAAGAGCTCCCCATTGGGGCTGTCTGGGCTGCTCTGGATGATGCTGCTTGCAGGTGATGTTTTGCAGAGGACTCCTCTCACACCTCAGTCCATGTTGAGAGCTTGGGGATCCCCTGAGAAGATCCAGCTCCTCTCTGGTGTGAAACAAACGCTCAGCAGAGCAGAGGACAGCAGCAAACTTAGACCCAAACAGCTGTGTTGATGTCAAATCTGGACTGGGTGTAGTCTATGGTATCGTGGATTTTCTTGGTGCCAATTTTGGGTTTCTCGCTATTGCTTTCTGCCTTTGGGCACCTCTCTGCTTTGCCGTGATGGCTCTGGATGTTCCCGTGAAGTGGGAAGTAAAATGTCCCCTTGAGTTTGTTCATCTTTTTGGGTCTCTTGGAGATCTCAGGCTGTTTGTCTTCAGGTGGAAGCCAGCAAGGCTTCTCCTTGAGAAGCCTGTCTCGGTCTGGCCGAACGCTCCTCAGGAACTTCTTGAAGATGTTGGCTGTGAGGGAGAACTTCCTGCAGAGCTCCTGGGATCTGCTCATGGACAAGGATGCCTCGCTCTTCTCCCCCTTCTTATCCAGTTCCGGCAGATCCAACCAGTTCCCAACCAAGTCTGCAAAGATGTTATCCCCCAAGACCAGCGGCTGCCGATTCCTGCTCTGGGACATGAGGGAGGACGTCCAGTCGTGGCCATCGTCACACCCTGGGCACTCCCGGCATGCAGGCCGTCCCCATGCTGTGCCCTGGCTGCTGGGCTCAAATGTCCGAGGGCGGACATGTTCCGCTTGGACAGAAGCAGAGGAAGGTCCTTCTGGGTGATGGACATCCCCACCACTGCTGCTCCTGACCCACGCGAGGGATGTGGGGCTGCACCCCTCCACCGATGCCTGTCCCTGCAGCCCCTCGTGCTGCCGTACCCCAGGCACCTCTCTGCTGCTTCGGCAGCACTGCTGCTGCTCAGTGCCAGCTATGGTGCTTCGGCTCCCCGAGATGTCCAGCTGCTCCAAAGCTGTCTGGACCTGGAGGAGCTTCAGCTCCTGCAGCGCGCCCATCATGCAGTTCATCTGCTCGTGCAGCCCGTCTCCGACCTCCTTCATGGAGAGCTGCGGAGGCAAGAAGCAGACATCGAGTCAGTGTCTCCAGGAGCCAGGAGAGCAAGAAAATTTTGACCAAAGGACAGGAGAGCTGGGCTGAGCAGCTTCCTGAAACATCACCTCTTCCTAATGACCACATTTTTAGAAGCGTCCTACTTGCACCACACCCATTTCATAGAACAGCAACTGAATTTTTCTTAGATTTTTCTAGGAGTTTCCCTCCAGGAATAAGAAGAGCTGACAGGAGGAGTGGATTTTTTGACCTGACAACAAAAATAAATAGTTTGAGTTTCCATTAATTGCTTGGCAGAAACCCAAGGTGCAGAACTATGAATGGTTTTGGCTGCTGCCAGTTTTAGCATATTCTTTGCTTTTCTGTCTTTTGTGCCCTGTAACTAGCTGAAATCAGGAGTCAGAGTAATGAACAGAAGTGCCTCCCACAGAGAACCTTGTTTTCTTTACCTGAAGTGCCAAAGTAAATTAAAAATAAGCCCCAATAAGAATCACATTGTTACTATATAACATGTCTGAAGATCTTAATACCCTCATTACAGGCACCTCTCACTAGAGGACAAAGACATTTCAATGCACTTGAAATTTTGTACAAAACAACCAGCAATCTCTAAAATTACTTACTTCAACGAGCAATCTCTTTGAATCCCAAGCTAAGACCTTTAGCAGCACTTCTGCTTTATCCCTGAACCTTGCTATGAAGATTCAACTTTCTATACTAGACTTAAAATAAGCAAGTTATTTTCCAGAGCTTCTAAATTCCCCCTCTTCTCTTTCGCTCTGTTGCTTTCTCTCTCACGTAGGATCTGGATCATATTCCCAAAGCGGCATCATAAAACAAATGGACTGTACTTTCCAACAGCTGCCACTTTTTTTTCAGCAGGGAGGGGGAGTGGGGAACTGGAAGGAGCGGGGAAGAACAGCAGGGGATGGCAGGGCTGGAGGTGAAGACATGTCACATTGATGTAAGGTGGTTTGCAGAAGAGATTACCACTGTCTAGGAAAAGCTTCAGCCTACGCTGCCATAAACAGTTTAAACGGCTCATCACAATTTTTGTACAGCAACAGATTTCAGGTTTAGGGTGAAAAAGAAGAGATGCATCTTATGTTCAGCTTTATCAAGATTTACTTTTTTACATCTCCTTCATTTTAACTAAACTAGTTCAATTCCTTGCTCTATTTCCATTTCTGTACGTGGATCTGACCAGTGAGAAAGAGCAGCCACCAAAAAGCTGGATCCTCTGTAACAACCTGGCTGCGTGAGCAGAAAGCTCCTCAAGAGTTTGATCACAAATCTCCATTTCAAAACCCAGACCCTGACACTCGCCGGCAGGTTACGATGATTTTTCAGAGCTTCACTCCCAAGAAACTTCTTTATCATGCAGAATGAGCACACAAGCTACGAAGATACAGAAAATCTGTGCTTAGCTTCCCGATTACACTATCAAGTGTCTCCAGCTATCTAATTTTTTAACATCAGCAAATAAAGCTCTCCTCCTGCAGCCACGCAAATAATGCCCCCCTTACAGACGAACCGCGCTCTTGGGTTACGCGTACGAAAGCTGGGGCCATATGCTCTGCAAGCCTCAGACAAAACTATCACCTTACCTCTCCGATTTGCTGTAATGCTCCTCGTCCTAACCTTTCTCGCCTTATTAATGGAAGTCTGCTTTATCTGGGGCTTTGCAAGAAGCTGCTTTTGGAGCCAGCCCGGCCCCTCATTGGCCGCTCCCCACCAAATCCCCTGGCCGGCACCGCGCTGTAATCACCGCGCGGCCAGTAACGAGGGTCCTGCGCTAACGACCGGGCTCATCAAACCCTCAGCAGATGCCGGGCGGCTCTGCTGTTCAGCTCATCGATTCCATCAGCTCCCCCACGGTGGGTGCCATCATTACACGGCACGCCTCGCCCAGCGAGGCTCTGTTGAGCATTCAGATCTCACGGGCAGCGTTTATCGTCAGCGTGGTCGTTTCTCACCGGCAGATCCTGTCTCCCCCTGACAAGAAAAGAAATGAGCCCTGAAAGCTCAGACTCCAGCACGTCTCCTGC